TGTGTGTGTGTGTGTGTGTGTGTGTGTGTGTGTGTGTGTGTGTGTGTTTGCATGCTTGCATGCATGCATGCATTGTTCTGTAGTTTAGCTCTCAAGCAAGAATTGCATATGTGTGCACATGATATTGCACATGAGGTTTGCACAGCGAGTAGTAACGTGCAGAAGCAGGCACTATTCACCACTGGTTACATTGTCAGACTGTCTGTATCCGTGTTGACTTGTAGCTTATAATGATTGCTGGAGCTCATTTAGATCTGCCCTCAGGATTGAAGCTATGGGAATGGAGACCCATGTAACATAGGAATTGATACTGAGCTAAAACTAGAAATGTGTCCAAGTCTGAAATGGAACTTTGGGCCACCAGAAAAGTTCCACTTCATCTGTTCACATACACTCCTTTTGTGAAGAAGATAAACACAACTCCATTTTGCAGGCACTTAGTGGCATGTACACATCTGCGTGCATTTGACACAGTCACTCCGGTCATTTAATCATCCACATGTACCTGCATACATCAATAAACAGGCATCCACTCTGTAAACTATGGAACACAGTCGGTCGTGCGGCCTTACGCCTCAATCAGCTAACTGCAAAAATAACATGCAGTGAGTCACCAAACAGGTTTACAACTGCATTTTCTGGTACCAGTTCCTGTTGTCATTTTGTTGCTGCAGCAATTTTGGCTCATGCCATATTACTTCAATGTGTTAGGGCAGTGGCTTAAGTTCCCCTTCTACAATCTCTGCTTGTGTTTTAGTATTCTGTGTTTATGTGTAAGTACAAGGTGCCGCGCCTGCAGACACTTGCCCACATACAAAACACAAACACAGCTCCTACTGTGTGTTGCTGTTGGTACATTCAGATAACACTTTGACCAACTAGTGTGCATCCTCTTATGTAACAGCAGTGGTTATGCTTTATCAAGCTGTGGTGCATGTGTGCTGTGTGGGAGCAGTTCCACTGGTGAATGGTGTGTGTGTGACTAGAAGTCTCTGTTGGTGCTGTGGTCTTTGTGGGGTTGAAAAAGGTTTAATTTTACAATGTAAAAGAGTTCCCTCGTTTGCTTTTGGCCATTGTAATGGGTGGAAATAGCTTGTTTTGAGAGCTCCCTAGTGAGTGACAGGGTGCACTAGTGCTTTCTCCAGTATCATCAACCTACAGGCGCTGTGAAGCACAGCAGTTTTAGATAACACACACGCACACACGGAGGCAAAAATAATCTGCAGCTCGGAGAAGTATGGATAGTCTCAAAGGGGGGAAACCCACCAGCAGCATTTGAAGGCCAACAGTACAGCAGAGCCCATGTTGAAATGAAAGCCCATCTTAAGGAAGTGCATTTCATTTCATATAAACCTTTTACATCACTTTTATACAATGTCCGTAAACCTATTTTTATTTCACTACTGAAACAGATTGAGCTCTCTTGTTAAGCAGTTTGATAAATAGTGTTTCATGGTGCACTGGTACTACTGGTAAAATATCTCAGTGCATTCATTTGGGTTTATTCGGATTATTTAAGATTATACAGAGTCGGTGCCTATATCACTGTGCCAAATACAAGATGCCAATGTCGTATAAACATGTCACTAAAAACCAGACTTTTACAGCAAAATCACGGTGTGGTGGTGCAGACAGCTTAGAGGTTATATTGCTATTTGTGATCATTAATTAGCATGTTTCTGTTTCATCATAACAGGGAGTATTGCATGAAGCTGTGCTTTTTGTTCTTAAATCATCAAAGCATTTTAATACCTATGCTTTACACAGAGAGGGATTCTGTGTTGTGCTCACGCTGTTGCCAGGAGACTCCCTGGGTTTTGATTGTGGAAAGCCTGTGTGGACGAATCAGCTGGATTGTTGTGGCTCCAATCCCACCAATCAGCTGTGGTTTTGTGCCCTGTGTGGGCGGGCGGGCTGCTCCTGTGTTATTAACAAGACCGAGCCTCCTCAGTCTCTCCAGAGGCCAGGGGCAGGATTGGCACTCAGGGCTGCTCTCTGCCAGTGTGATAGCATGCACGTGTACGTGCATGAATGTGTGCATATACATGCATGATAATCCTCTAATATGCTTCTGGGCTTTGTCCTCTTTCTCTCTTGTTCTGCTCTGTTCAAACTGAAAAACAAGTCTGTTATGTGCACCTAATTATCTTAGCGCTATCATACTTTGTCACATTGACATGTTGTTTTTGTTTTGCCTGTCATGTCGTCACAAACCTAGTTATCTGTCGTAAAGAGATCTTGCAAATGGCATGTTGACCAACTAAAAAGCACTTTTAACATGGCTAATCCCCAAAGCAGTCAAATTGAAGGCGTTGTTAGAAACAACGTGGCTTGGTTTGAACAAGCATGTGAAACCAGTTAAATGTAATCCATGTCTTAAATGTGTATTCTCCTTTGTTCACACGTCATATAACACCACGGGTGCCTGTCTTGTCATTATGATGCCCAAACTTACCAGATAACGTTCACCGCTTCCTCTGAAATCACATCTGTTGTGGTCGTTATCAGCTCCATTAATGTGACTAAATGTACTGTTCCCCAAAACGGAGCTGGAGGATAACCTAGAGTACATCACTATACACAATAGCTAGCATGAGTCCTTGAAAACGGAGTGGCGTAACAAGGAAAGCTCACCTGCCTGTTTGACTAAATATAATTCAACTTCAGACATAACGAGAATAGGATACCTTTTATAGAAATGGTCAAAATGTCACGCAGTCGTTTACTGTCGTCGTTGTTGCTTTTGCATTTGAAGCACGCATGCCGATATTCAAATTCATCAAATGGTTGTTTATCAAACTCTCAATGAAAACTGTGTTTTGGTTGATTTGTAATCTGTCACAATGTTTGCTGACCTTTGACCTCTGTTTTTGCCTTCAGGTGATCGGCCTATTAGACGTTTTCACCCCAGCAACAAGCTTAGAGGAGTTCAACGATGTGTAAGTCACACTTTTACTTTTTCCTTCTGTCTTAAGCTCTCTTTGGTTCCCCTCATCCTCACACAATGAAGGCCTTCATATCAGCAGAGGATGAACACGATGAACACGATAGTACTGGTGGAGTTACAAACGCATCGTAACCCTGCAGCTCTGAACTTCATGCGAGTCCAGCAACTGGCAGGTTTTACCAACGTGATCGTTTGCTGAACTTGTGCACTGTGCACATCACAGCTAGTCTCCATGGTAACAGCCATCTGGCTGTGTCCGGGGGTTGCGTGTGTGCGTGTGCACAGAATATTCAGTTAGTGCCCTTGAATTCTCAACACGGTGTGGCGTCATCAGCATGTAGCACATTTGTTGAAATGTGAGATGAAGCAACACAACAGACACCTGGCACTGAAGTTGCACAATGAAGATATAATGAAATCAAATTGTGCAACCGATCGTTCTATTGCACCGCGAGAGAAGCAGATGCACGCAGATGTTTACGGGGCAGCCGACAACTGGTGTCCTGCAGTCGGATCGAGCAGCTGTACCAGGCAGAAATTTGACATATACACTTGTGTTTTTATTTGGCCTTCTTCTGCTGATCTGTTGGCTGAGTAAACATTCCACCATCAAGAACATATAAGTGACACAATCAAACAATAGTGAATAGTGAACTAGTTATAAATGAATTCAATCTTTCATAAAGTCATTATGCTGATGGTAATACAGAGATTTAATAGAATTTGTCACAATAAAGTTACAAAGCACTTCATCAACTATAACAGCACAATAATTATTTATAGAAAAAAGTACAATGAATTAAAGACGGCTGCAGAAGACAAAGACGGACATCTCATCGGCTGTACTGTGTGATTTCGCAGGTACCTGGTGACCCATCTAATGGGTGCAGACCTCAACAATATCGTCAAGTGTCAAAAGCTGACAGATGACCACGTCCAGTTCCTCATCTACCAGATCCTCAGAGGCTTAAAGGTCAGTGAAGCATCCAGCGTAACAGGAGAACTCGGCTCAACACTGGTGCCTGACTGCCTGTGGATCAGTGGGCTGTTTTACTACACTGAACTGAATTGGTCTTAAGTTAAGCTAATTAAGCTACTAACTTCTCCTTAATCAGTATAATGAAAATACTATTTATTTCCAATTTGGTTGAGTAGCTGTAGAAACATACTTGAGATTTAGTAAAGAAACTGTCGTCTCTTAGTCTATCTGATGGCCCAACAAATAATCTTTTCTGTAACCTTTTGTAGTTATGGTGCCTGGTAATTAATCTTAATGGACAACTGAACTTTGACATCTGACACAGTAACCCCAAAGTAAGAAGGACAAAGCTATCTGAGACAGGAGTTACTGTGAATCACTATTTCTGATGGGACAAAATGCTTAATGTCCGTCACCATGCTTGCTTGACTTGTTGAACCCTCTTTGTGATTGTTTAACTCTGTTTCTGTTTCTGTTCGGTTTTTATTGACATATGAAGCCTTTTATTGTCATACTCTGCAAGAGACATTTTAACATCCCGGTATGTGGTGTTCAACCACTGTGGATTCAAAAAGAAGAGAGTAGTGGGGAAATGGGTGGCAGAACTTACAGCATTTTGTTGTTTGTATCCAACATGTGATCACAAACACAGTAAACTACAAAAATAGCTAATTAAATATCCTGTACTGTGTTCTATAAAATGAGAGTATAATATAAATGTAATCTCTTTCTTTTCCCAACAGTACATCCATTCTGCAGATATCATCCACAGAGTAAGTTGACCGTTTAATGTCTTTTAATACACTTCAGTCTTGTTCAGAGATTACATGTCTTATGCTGATCAAACCTCCTGACAAAAGCCAAAACAATGAATACCACATCAGCTGTGTGATGTTTGGTTAACATAAACGTGGACAGGCGGAGAGCGGCAGGATACTGCTCCGTTACTTCTGTATGCAGTCTTGACTTTTCCTTCTTGTCCCCGTTTTCTCTTCAGGACTTGAAGCCCAGTAATCTGGCCGTGAATGAAGACTGTGAGCTCAAGGTGAGAAATGGTCGTCTCGAAACGAGGTTCATGGTATATGACTTTTAGATGATCACGTGGAGGAGAAAATCTTTATGAAATCACTTTGTCCCCAAGATCCTGGACTTTGGTTTGGCGCGGCACACAGACGATGAGATGACGGGCTACGTAGCCACCCGGTGGTACCGCGCCCCCGAGATCATGCTCAACTGGATGCACTACAACATGACAGGTACACACCATGACGTAATCATAAGGTTTTGAGCTGAATGTACAAGTACATCATTTGCAATTTCACACAATGTGATTGTGCAATAATGGAAGTTTTTGTTTTCTGGAGTATACGTTGCTATATATAGATCTAGAAATATAGATGTATGTAGCTTTTTCTTCTGCAGCGTCACTTGTTGACTCTTTATTACATAAGACATGATTGGGCGATTATAGAGAAACTCTGACAGCTTTTCAATTTTTGGAATCAACATGACGTCAAGGTGCAGCACCAGCCAAAGCAGTTGTCTTACATGGCTTCGTGGTGTTGGTTTAAATGGTCAAATAGATGTAAAAAGAAAGTGCCTTTTAGCTGTGCCAACAGGCACTGTTGATAGAGCTCCTGTTTTAGAATATAATATTTCCAAATAACATGCTTTTTGTTTTGTTTTTTCAATCCTGAAAACTAAATTAAAATGCAAACAGTTTTGAATAAAACAGAGTTCAGCTCAATCTTTCTAGAGTGGTTTCGCAGCGGATGTACAGCACAACACTGTACGTCTAAAATATTCCCCAAAAAAAAAAAAATGTAATTGTTAAATTTACCACAAGTATGAAGGAGCCATTGCAGACCATACAAATGATTGTGAAATCCCTACATGAGTCTCATGGGCAGCCTTATTGGTCTGCACTATGGTTTTGAAAAACTTAAGCTTGGGGAAATGAAGATAATGGAACTGATACTGAATATGTTGTTTCATATTTTCAAGTATTCACTGTGCTGCATATTTTTCTTTATAACATGTGATAGTCGATATCTGGTCGGTGGGCTGCATCATGGCTGAACTACTTACTGGACAGACGCTCTTCCCTGGCACAGACCGTATCCTTCCACCGCTGTCATTGTCATGCAAACATTGAATGGCTCCTTGGAGTCACTCTGTTCTGTAGGTCTTTGGGGGATCTGGAAGAGGTAGCAGATGGATGCATACTCTTCTGCTGTGTTATGTATGCCATGGTGTTTCAAACACACACTTGCACAGTTTTACTTACTTCAAGCTGACTCAAAAGCATTGCCGAGTATTGACTTTTGTGAGCTGCATGCCAGAATAGTCAAGAAAGCGTGTGTGTTGTGTTGTGTGTGTGCATTCATGTGATGGGAGTTAAGAGTCCCCTGCAGTCTATGACTCAGCGCTGCCCACTGTTGTCTTTACTGCTTCTCCAAGATACAGCACACCTTCCTGTTTTCCTCTCCCACAAAGCTTCCCATGCAGCAGCAGCAGCAGAACACATAACAATGTTCAGGGAGACGCTGCGTTAGCACACAACACCGTACCTCACAAAATACAGACGTTGGCAAACATTGCCGAGGTCATTGTTCTCTTCAAGATCAAAAGCACAAGCTTGTTGGTGTTTCTTGTGTTTGTGATTCCTGCTCTGAATGATCAATCAAACAATTCACTGCATTGTGTGTGTGTGTGTGTGTGTGTGTGTGTGTGTGTGTGTGTGTGTGTTTGAATGTGTGCCCTCACACTAAATCAAAATCACCTCGATAGTTGGTGGAGCTACCCACCTAAAGCATTGTCGAATATACAAAGTACAGTAGTCTATCTGGTCTGTCTTACATTACTTGTCTCAGTAAAAGGTGATTTTTACACGAGTAGCTGTGCTACAAAGCACAGGAGCCGCATCTAAAGATAATCAAGGGTGTAAATCATCCTTATTTCAAATGATTGCTGACATTTTTCTAAATTTAAACAGATCAGGTACATGTGCTTAGTCTGCTTTTGTTTGGTATATTAGATCATCAACAAATCTCCAAACTGTCAGTGAGCAGTTCAGTGACTTTAAAAATGCACTTTAGCCTGTTTGTTGACATTTCTGGGTCGTCTTGCTTTGTGAAACCGACAACGATGAGGTAATCGGGTTAATGCATTAGCCAATCATTTTAGGTGTTATACAAGCAAAACATTCTCAGCTTCCAGCTCCTCTAATGAAAGGACTTGCTGCTTTTCTCTGTTTCATATAATGTGTAGATTGAAAATGTTTTGCTTTGAAGTACACATTTTTCACATTTGTCGACATTTCATTGTCCAAATAATTGATGACAATCGGCAGATCAATGATGAACACAATAATTAGTTGAAGCCCTACTAATTTTGACTCTTTTTTTTTTTTTTTTTTTTTTTGCCTGAAAACTTGCAAAATGACCTAAGATTGCATGGCATACCACGAGATCTTTCAATCTTCATTTAGCATCCAAATGTTGTAACCAGTAGCAGTAGACATTCATTTGTTGACTTTTGGTTTCCATTTCTTTTACTTTTGATTGAATGAGAGAATATTTTCTTCGCCGATGAGGGCTTTGACTGTTGTACCTCTCACCCCTCTTTCCTTACCCAACACCCTCCATCCCTCCTTTTGTCCTTCATGTGAGTGTGGTAGACATTGATCAGTTGAAGCTTATAATGATGCTCGTCGGAACCCCAGGGCCCGAGCTCTTGATGAAAATCTCTTCTGAGTCTGTGAGTGTCGAGCACCGTCCCGCCCCGTCCTGGTGGGCTTCCCCACTATCTCCATATGACAAAGTAAGAGGCCTGTAGTGTAGCGCTGGGTTACAGCATCCATAAATCTCTGTAAATACATGGATATATAGGTTACAGTCAGGTGAAGGTTGCTGTCTAGCAAAGCTCAGAAAGTGTCTTCATCCTCACCCTGCTATGTATGTTTTCCCCTCTTTCCACCCCTCCATACACACCCTATCCTAACCACCCATGCTCTTTGACATGCTGACCGTCATGTTATGATGCCCCTTGACTCGGAAGCTATAGATATAAACCAGCTGCAGCAGATAATGCGCCTGACGGGGACGCCCCCAGCCTCCCTCATAAGCAGGATGCCCAGCCATGAGGTAAGACACGTGCACCCCCCCCCCACCCACCCACCCACAGCTTTGTGTAGTTTTTAAGTTTCTTACAGTTTGCATCTGCGTTTCAGCCTTTACTCTCACTCAACTTACTTCCTGTTTCTTCTCTGACTCAATGTGCTTGTCTCAGCAAGGCTTCCCAGAGTGCTTTGCCAGTGTATTCTGATGAGTGATTCGTGGCATTGGTCACACACATTGATTCTGAAAATTAGGGCACAATGTTTGTCTAATGTGTGGTTTGGGTGGTAGTTAAAGTGCTTGGGGCATGCCTTACTGGAAGGATGTACAGTAATGATAGTTTTTGCACCAGGCAAATTAATCAATCTAAAAATATTTTCCATTTTAAAGAGAGTTCATCCCAAAATCAAAAATACATATTTGTCCTCTTAACTAGAGAGCTATTCATCCTTCTGGATTGTTTTGGTGTGAGTTGCCTAGTTTTGGAGATATCAAACTGCTTACAACAAGGTCTGTGGATTATCTTGAATAATTGGGTCATGATTTCTGGAAAGAGACGAATGTAATTTTGCTCTTTGATCACCACAAGCCGAGTGCCATATAGTCCAATTATATTCATAAGGAGGCAGACATCTCAAAGGCCGATATCTCCAAAACTAGGCGACTTAAACCAAAACAATCCAGATTGATAAATAAGAGAAAAAAACATGTATTTTTATATTTTGGGGTAAGCTGTCCCTTTGAGCTGTAGCACTACAAAGTGCAACCTCTTGCCCCTGTGTTGTGTTTTACTGTTTTGTTAATCATTTCTCACAGGCGAGGAACTACATTAACTCACTTCCCCACATGCCCAAGAGGAACTTTGCTGATGTGTTTATTGGTGCCAACCCTCTTGGTAAGTTCCCTTTTCCGCATCATGCCATGGCTGACTTTACTCCTGGCTCAGTGAGCCCCTCGAGTGGTATCATAAAGTCAACCTTTTTGTTGTTGTTTGGTCAGGGATATTCTCAATTACTGTACGTGTTTGTCCAATTTAAATAATCCACTATGACAAATACTGACCACAGCAGTGTGATAACAGTTTCAACACCTATCCAGTATTATTAGATTACAGATAAAGCTGTAGATGGATTATTTTAATGTCTTGCCTCTTCACATGCTCATCACTGTTCTCTTGTCGCTGTGTTCAAGCGGTGGACTTGCTGGAGAAAATGCTGGTGCTGGACACAGACAAACGGATCACAGCCTCTGAGGCTCTGGCCCACCCGTACTTTGCCCAGTACCACGATCCAGACGACGAGCCCGAAGCGGAGCCTTACGACCAGAGCTTCGAAAGCCGCGAGCTGGAAATTGAGGAATGGAAGAGTAAGTTGGCACATTGTGGATGCCTGGGGTAGAACCTGAACTGCTGGGGGAGGGGGGGGGGGGAATAGGTAGATGCAAGTTGTGCATCCCATAGATTGCTTCAGAAATAATTTGTAAATAACCTCACGCATTATTTATCGTTTCTCAGGGTTAACCTATGAGGAGGTAGTTAGTTTTGAGCCGCCGTCGTACGATGGAGACGAGATGGAATCCTGAAGCGGACGAGGCACCTTTTCTTCCATCTTTTTGTTTTCCAAGAAACTTAAAGGACTATCGGTCTCTTGTGACTATCCACCACTTTCTTCACACACACACACCCACACACACACACACAACATTCAAGTGCCTGCCATCATTCATCTCCGGGGGACGTTGTTTAATCGGGGATAAAACTTGACATCCTGTTCCTTCTGTCCCCAAACATTGCTGTTTTTGTCATTCTGCATCCCAAGGCGCCGAGGCAGACTTTAAATTCTCCTTTTATATTTTTAGTAAGTTTTTACCTCAAACATTTGTTTGTATTGATCCCCTCTTTGATTCAGAAAACTAGAAACTATATGTCAGTATCTTATACGTATTTTATAACAATGTACCACTTAGCAGTAATTAATATTATAGGGAAAAAAGTTTGATAGAAACGTTTCACACTGCGGTGTGTGTCTTTGTGTATCTCTCCTCCACACATTAAAATAAAATGTTATTTCTATCGTTGCATAGAACTGTGTAAATATGACAAACAGTATTTGTACATAAGTACTTCACTCAAACAGGTAGCGTGTTTGTGTAATAGTCGTAATTACTGAGTCACATCTCAGCTGACCCCTTTTGACAGTATGAATTTTATTACTAGAGTTTAGCCTAAAATGGCATATAAAAAGATACAGTATGTAATTTAACACAAGTATGTATAGGATAGGCTAAGATCTAAAATATTTACCTCTACATGGCAAATTCAAGGCTTCATAATTCTCATTGTTGGATTTGAAGGTTTACAGTTTACCAAAAGATGAGTTTGGAGAGTATGGAGACTTGGCTTATGTATCCATTTCACGTACTTAACATTTGTTTTGTTTCTACTCTTTTATCCATATCAATTCTTCTTTTACCACTTCTGTCCTGGCGTTTTAGAAGAATGTTACCGTCCCGATTATCACAACCTACACCTTCGCATGATGAAGCCAAATTTGGCTTATTCGTTTATTGGAATGTGATGTTTCCCACCACAACTGACAATGTACTTTTATCACAATGCATTTATAGAATACAGTACTATTAATGTTTATTGAATGTCGGGGGCACCAGTCTGCCCTGTATTTATGGTCTTTTGTTATGATGTTTGTATATCGATGTAAAAGAGAATATTATTTGTCAGAATTCAAGGTTCTTTTTATTATTTATGGAAAGCTTACTGTATCAGAAACCAAATGTATCGTCAACAATCTGAAACGCCAGTTAAGCTGCGGGGACTGCAGTTACAGCTTGTTTATCGGAGCCAACAATATTAAGATTTTGCGGACAACCATATAGTTTTAAATCGGTTTGATCAACTGTTCATTTGAGTGGTTTCATTTTCTTCTTTAGTTTAAAGCAGTTCTTAAACATTTATATAAGTTATTTTGTTCACTGAAGTACTGCCCTCCAAAAGACTATTTTTAAAAAGAAATGTAATTTAAAAACATCAAAGCAAGATATGTATTTCAACTATATAATTTGTTTTTATTGACATACAAACCACTAAACAGTAGACTCCTAGTTCTGAAGTGTAATACAAACATTTGTTGACAAAATGTTTTTCTATGTAAACTATTTTAGGGGTCAGATTACCTTGTGACATACAAGCTACATCCACAGATGCTCTGGCTAATGTCAACCAAACATCAGTGTCTTCACAATTTCATTTGCAACAGCCTGTTTTTATATAGTGCTTTTTCTAATGTATTATTTTATTCTCTGTGTTGAATCAAGATTTGCTATTATTCTGTGATTCTTGTAATATTGACTGTTTTTTGAGTAATGCTAGAAATCTATTTGCCATTCATTTGAATAATTTAGCAGGGCACATGTTTGTGGGAAAGAGTGTACGTTTACTCACTGGATGCTGAAGGGCAATGCTGAAGCCTCGTTCTCTGTAGTTTTAAAACAACTGCATACATTAAAAAGAATAGTTTATCTTTTTACATATCCAAATGTCATTAGTTAATTTGGTAATTAGTTTATGCTTTCTTTGCCCGAGATGTGTTCACAAGTTTTTACATTTTCAAATGTATCAAGACAGAACGCCACACCGCCTGTAAATACCACCATTAGAAAATAAAGGCTATTTTTCAAACCTGTAACGGTGTTCAGTATATTGTGTGGTAAGTTTCAGCTGTCAATATGCCACCACTGGGCGGCGGCACAGCACAAGTAGGGTGACCGAACCTGTGGGAAAAGGAGGTGAAATAAAAGAGCATAATAATCTAAATAATACTTAAGTGAAAATATAAGTATGGGTACTTGCATTGCACACAGAATCCCAAAACTCAATGTTAATAATATATTAATACAACAATAACAACAATCAAGGTAACTAGTTATCAGGTAGAAGTCAGTTGAATGTTTGCCCAGCCAGTGAAAGGGTCAACAAATAAATAAGAAAACTGAGGTAAATTTGTGTCCTCACTGTGTTTCACCAGCTTTACATGAAAAATAAGTCTGCCTTCTGAGAAATTAGATGGAGACCTCCCCAACAACATGTTCTTCACAGCTTGATAGCTGATTTCATGCTTTTTATTATGGAAGCCCATTCGAGCAGGAAATGAAACAAAATTGATAAAAAGTTAGGAATGAAATTTCAAAAATAGTCATGGAAAAATAAAAAAGAGATACTGAATTAAATAGACTGTTTCAAAATGATGTGTGAAAATTATGACTTCAAGCAAGACTGACTTTTGAAAGATATAACACATTCTTCCTCTTACGAAAGCTTTACTTGGTATGGTAGGACCACGGGTCTTTTGTTGCTGATCTTAGCCAACTTTATCCTCAACATGTTCCTCTAACTGACAATACTGAGTCAGTTTGTTGACTTTATGATTCTTTCTTCTACCGTTACATTTTCCCCTTTACATTGCTATCTATGGACCAAATGTATCAGGACTTTAGCTTGCAATGCAAATAATAGAGAAAGGGTTCTTCTAACAGCCATGACTGTAAATAACCAACAATCCCCAAACACTGGATTAGCAACATGACAGCTTAATTTGATTAATTGCATATTTGTTTGGGAATTTCCATCACTAAAGTGCAAAATTCAACTAATGTGGGAGTTGCAATGCTATTAGCAAATGTTGTGGCTCTGTGTCAAAATGCAGTGTTAAGATCTTCACTGTGTATCTTCCCTAGTTTACTATGAGCTCACATGGCGCATATTTCCAATACAATTGTGTTTAATCAAAGTACCACAAACCACAACATTATTTTCATACCACAAGAGTATACTGGTTGCACTGGATTTAATGGGAAGGCAGCAGGGTACATACATCCTTCACAGACTGCGGTGGAAGGAGGGTCAGTAAACTCCCAACACTACCTTGACAGGTAAATCTGCATATGGCAATCCCTGGACTTATTTTTAGAAAGTGAATGCCTCAGGTATTGGCTGTGCTTGCTTTACATTTTAGAATTTATTCATCAAAAGATACGCTAAACATCACACATACCAAATGCGTGTGGATCTCAGGCAGACAAACTTAGTATCTTCCTCTAAATCTCTTGTTAATACTCGCTTTTATCTAATGTCTTTTTTTAACTGGTGGTCAATTATTTTATCTTGTTTATATCTTGATCTATATATTTTTTTAATCATATTTTTATTGTAAAGTCCAGTTTGTTATTATAATTATTAGCTGTTGACAGTTTCTTCACACTCCGCCCCCTACAGCTCAACTCTGTTGGATCGGTCCTTTTCGCGCACTTTAGAGTTCTGACATTTCCAACGGTCCTTGAACGCAGCGTATCTCCTGCCTGCTTAGCACCATGGAAAGAAAAGGTAACGTTGTTGTAACTTACTCCTAAATGCGTTTCACACATAGTACTTGAAACACACACACGCGCATTTCTTCAAGACAATTCTCTGGCGATTTATTCTCATAACGGTTTCAACCGCTGTAACAAACAGCGTAACGGCTCGATGGAAAGTAAAAGTGGACCATGCGCTCTGCTGTGTGTTAACAGCCTGCTAGCTCTAGCTACCAGACTAATGTTAGCATCTGGTCGTGGACAAGTATGCGCCAAAACTTTCACCCGGGTCAGAGTAAATCAATAAGCCATAGTGTCCCCATTAACGTATACCAGGACCCGGCATGATAATGGACAAAACCATGTTCGACATACACGCTGAAACGCACCACGTTACTGTTAGCAGCTAACTTAAATCACCTCTTCCACGGGGAAACACACCGCCAAGGCCGGTTCACTCAACGTTAGCTTCTCGAGAGGCGTTGACTCAAAGCTAAGTAACCTGCTAGCTCTACGCAGAGTTAATAATGTCACCGATAACTACGAGTATCATACACCTGCAGCCACGAACACACCGGGTACTCTTCTCTCTCAAATCACGAAATACCACGTTACCTAATAGCTTTGAGAAACAAAGAGTGTCGTGTTTAGAGGAAAAAACAGTGAGTTGTAGATATGGGTATTTGCGTTATAACTGTTTTTTTCCCTTATTTGTTTAGTACTCGCAATGCAAGCAAGGAAGAAGAGGACACGGCCAAGGAAACCTGGAAAGAAGTAAGTTGGAAAAACATCCGTGTTGTCATTTCAGAGGTGACATTCAAAGTAGGAGGTTCACTCATGAGCTGCTCAGCTGCATTTTCTCACATGACTCACTCAATAACTCCTCTAATGAGACTACACTTTCACCTGTCTGTGCTGCAGGAGCAAGTCACACACGTATACTGTTTATATGTATATGTGTATATATATATATATATATATATATCCCCATGCTTTGATCCCTCTCATCAGTCTCAACCATCTCACTATCTTCACGCCAGTCCTACTACCTCTTTTTTTTCTAGAATCTTAAATCTCAGCTTAGTTCCTCAACAATCTCGTCACTCTTTAATTGAAGGGATCACATAATTTATCTCTTAGCCAAAGATTGTCATCCTTTTCTTTCTTTCTTTCCTTTTTAAATAACTGCATGTCTTGCTGCAGTCTCGTCGTATCCTAAATGTATAGTCGAAGCTGGGGGACTAATCTTTCCAGCTGTTAGTAAGCTACAGTTTCTCGTACTTGTTGTGATAAAGTAATTTAAAGTTAATTCCAGGGTTGACTTGGAGCCGGGGTTTTCAAAGTCTGTCATCCCCCCTAACAATGGAGGTACAGATGACTGTCACTGGATTACTTTGATACCTAAAAAAACATAAATATGCAATGATTAACAAGCGAGTTCTGGAGTTTCAAGGAGCATCTGTTTTCTAAAACTTCTAAGTTTATTTATGAACATTTATCTTATGGTTTTAAAGTGCCTAAATTGCCTCCATGAGCTGTGTGTCACAGCCACTGCTGGACTTATAATCAGGCCAAACTACCATGACTGACGTCCTGTTGTTTTTAGGACACCAGCATACACCTGTATCTTTGTCCCCGCCCCCTCTTGTCAGTGATGCTGTGCAAGAGTTTCTAGCTGAAATGCATCATTTCTGTCAATAACCATCAAGCAAGGGGCGAGCATCCAAGCATAAATCAACCCCCCTCCCTCTCTCGCTCTCTCTTTCCCTTGCACTGATTACGCTCCTTCTCGCTCTCGCGTTGGTCGCTTTGTTGTGGCTGCTTTGCTGAGAGGACGCAGCAGCAGCCACCGTTCAGTCGAATAGAGCCAGGGGAGAGGAGAGCAGACCCGGTCCCGCAACCACACCGAGCTTTAACGCACCACTCGCTTTTGCAAAGTTTCGTTTAGTACAGACTTGTGTCATGTGGCTCCTGGACTGGATCTTCTCCATCAATACAGCTGTGGTGAAGTTAGCCAGCGGTCTCACGGGCAAGTAAGTAGTGCAATAATACGTCTCATGTTTAGTGTATGAGAGAGTGGAAGCAAGATTGAAGGAAGACGAAGTGTCCCATGCGGATCGTCGGTTTAAACAGAGTTTGGCTGACTTATTGATTGGCTGATCCGTTTTTCATTAAGGAGCGGATGCTGACTGTTGCTGCTCTATGAGGTACCTGACTACCCGCTCATGTGGGTGAGAAGAGGACTGACTCCCCGGTGGATTTGTGCTGCCAGCTTTTATTTTTTTCACTTTTATTCCTGCATTACAATATATTTGTATGCGTCACTTCAGACATGAAATCACTTGTTTTTCTCTAACTTTCTGTGCCTCAGATGTAGTTTTTGGATTACATGTGCACTCAGGAGACTGACCAGGAATAGCCAGCGCTGCAGAGTATTTACCAGCACGGTTGCGCTCGATTGTTTTGTGCTTTTATCTCTCCCCCCACAGCCGCAGTTCATTACATAACCCATCAAATCTTTCATCATCTGCGGCCCACTAAAGCTCCGTGTCCCTCTATTTCTCTCTCTTGCCATCGTCCTCACTGTGCAGGTGCTGAAGCGAAGGTGCTGCAGCACACTCGCTTCCACTTTGTGTGCATTTTGCACCCTCAGTACAGTTACCTCGTGCTGCCGTTTCATTCTGCTGCTCAGGCACTTGTCATTGATTTTATCTGGAGGGAGGGGAGGAGGAGGAGGAGGAGGAGGACGTTCACTTTTTGGCCACATTCCATCCCCCAAGAGCTCTCTCCTCCTCTGTGCCCTTGTTTGTTTTGCTCCAGAGATCTGATGGGGCTGGATGGGTGGAGACAATACAGCCAGGAGACACTGACACACACTGTCATGTCAGATGTGTGCACTGCGGTGATGGAGATGTCAAGTGTTTGTGGCTCTGTATTACCTTTCAGCCTTCATTGGCCCGGGCTGCAGTTAAACGGACCATTTAAAAGGCCCTTTGTGTGCAAGACGGTGTCAGCTTCAGCTTCTGAAGAGTGGTCTAAAGAGATGTAAAAGTTCGACAAGATATGGAGTGGGATGGTTGTTGTTGGTCTAAGTGAGGCTGTAGTTAATATTTTTGAGACAGGCCTCTCCTTTTCATTAGTGTCATTGTGTTACGATACAAATGACTTGACGTATGTTATATATTGAGTTGTGTACTTACAGTATCCCTTATGTTTTCAAACGTGAAGAAATCTGTGATTTTAATTAGGGAAACAGTGTGTTTCGTCATAAATTAACTTTTTATTCTGTTTTAAGCCACATTTTTGGCAAACCTATTTTAGATGTTGGTGATTATTCGTTATGTATTTCAAGCGAATGAAGGATTTTAATCACTGGACGTCTAGATTGTGAGTTATCAGAGAAACAAACGGAGCACAAGCGGCAGCTCAGCTTGCAGCCTCTCCAGAATGTCCAGCATTCACCGAACAGCTTCGGTTAAGTTTTAACGCGAAACCGGTTTTATTCACCTGGTCCGTTTGTTTCGGAGAGAAGGAGACATCGGCAGATAATTCGGCTCTCGGTAAAAAACAACCTCTGAACACTGAAGGAACCGAGAGAAGCTGAATGGTGGCCATTAGGTTCACATGTTGCTTATCCAAGGATGTCCCTCCATCTTGGGCATCTTCAGGTGTTTTTGCAGGAAGAGCAAATGAAGTAACTCCATTACTCGCCATCAAAAATGACATCACGGAGATTGAATCCGAGGAAGAATAGCTGCACTATATTGGCACCACTGCTCTCATGGCAAAACCCCACAGACCTACTAATGTAATGACATATTACTGGCTGATCATTGCTGATCTGTATTGTTTGTTTATAGCTGCCGGTCTACAAGTGCTTTAGACTATTATTATTTTTTCCACCGTCCCAAAAGTGATTTCAACTGCTCTGAAGTCTGTAAACCATCAAACATTCTGAATGTTTTACTTTGTTATCGTCGCCTGTTTGTTTGCTTGTTTTCCTCGTAAAAACACACCATTCAAATGATAAGGAAATAAAAGATTGTATTGTTATGAATTAAAACAAATCTGGTCATTAGTAGTTTTAATGGTGTATTATAAGCTGCTAGAGGTATTGTAATCGGGTCATAATTCATCTTTAATAAGCTATGTTGTTGTGAAAACATCTCCTTCAAACAACTGGATTTATTAAAGTTTCTCCCCAAAACTACATTTTACGAGATTACATGTGAACACATCATGATAACGTTATAATAATAATAATAATAATAATAATAATAATACTCATTTTCACTGAACAGAGCCTGAACCTTCTCTCTCCTGCTGATTTAAACACAGACTGGTCGTTTTTAATGTAACATTATCAGAGATCGGCGACTAGAAAAGCATAAATGCCGATGTTCTGATCGCATATTTTACAGAATATCGACGGATGATGTCAGTAAAACTCAGTTTCACACTGTGATGCTTAACGTTACACTGTGTAATTAATCTGCGAGGGGGGGGGATCCGTACTGATGATCAACAGTGGTCCATTACACTACTACTACTGACAAAAGCATGAATGACTAACATCAACAGATTGGTACTTGATCCACATAATGAAGCACTTGCTGGGCCTTAACATTGACTCTGAATGAAGCTTAAATCTGCAGCTCTTCACCAACCTTTTTAAAACGTGTATATATATATCTCTATCTCTATCTATTAAATGGAGCCATGACAGCGATTCCTTTTGAGGGTGCTCATACATTTGGGACATGCCTCTGGTGGTAGGGGGGTTGTCCTCTGTGCAGCGGGGGCTTGTGTACAGATTGAAAAACAAAACCGCATGTTTCATTGCCTCAAGCATGGGATTATATTACGGATTCCCTTCCGATTCCTCTCCGACATCTAGTGGTTCACATCGACTTGGTTGTGGTAACATGAGGAGCAACGTACCGCGTGTACAACAAGCAGGAATGGTGTTGTTTTGGTCAGACGAGGAGGAAGGGAGGGGGTTGATGTCGTCCCTCACCTGCAATGCAGTGCTGGGCTGCATCAGCCAATCACGTCCCAGCTGTCAGTGAAGGGGGCCGGCCCAACGGCTGACGACAGCCAAGGAGAGTTGAGAGAGAGAGAGAGAGAGAGTCAGCGAGCGTGCTCCAGGACTCAGTCTCAGTGTTCAGCCTGCAGCAGAGCCCCCACATTCCTCCTCTTCTCTCTCTTCTTCCTCTCTGCACCAGTTTTCCCACCACTCTTTTCCACCCTCTTTCTCCTCTTCTCATTCTGTTTGCTCCCCCCTCTCCTCTGTAAATCTGTGCTTTTCAGTTGTCAGCACTGCTTGCGCTCTCCTCCTCCTCCACTCTACTTTTCACCTCCCATCCTCTCCTTTACCTTCTTTTGGTCCTCTTTATTTCTCTCTCTCTCCTGGCGGATGGAGTGAGAAGGTTTTTTTGACATCTCCACTCTCTCCCGTCCTGCTCCCTCCATCACGTCCCATGGGCATCCGTGCATCTGCCAGGTAAGAGCAGGACGTGTATGTGTGAGTTTAGGCAGGCGTCACAGTCAGTTAGAGGTTTGTCTCAAGGCTCCGCGTGTTCAGAGTGTTGAAGAAGTCCTTGAATTGTCCGGCTTTTTGTTCAAGTTCACATTGTCTGGCCATCAGAGGGCATTGAAGTGTCCGACTGGCGATGTACCGCAGTGAGGAAAAAAACTTGAATGCACAATCTTGAAGGGCCCTGCTGTCTTTTTGCATTAAATGTGAGAATGCTCATGTTTGTTTCAATTTGCAATTTTTATGTCGTGCATATTTGGCAACTATTTAACCTCCACCATTCTGTCCCTCCATCTTTTTTGCTCTCTAATTCTTAAAAACAGTATTCACTCTGGCAGGTATATTTAGTTCTAGTCGGTGTCCTGGGATCAAAGGTCCATGTGTCACTTTTTAAGCTTCATCCCTAAGATCTCTATTTTTAAGAGATTTTAGCCAACAAAAATGTAACATGTTGGTGCATAGTTATCAACAACCAGGAACATTTTCAAAAGTTTAGGAAAACACTTTAGATTTGAGTCTTTTGTTCCTCAATATTTGAGTCAAATGTAAACATTGTGAACAGTTTGGTCTTGTTTTATTCAAGACAAAGTATTTGAACGTCTTCATATCCATCATCATCTGACATTAGCCGGACCACAGACATCTACAGTATATCTTCAGTATCTAGTCTGTTCCTTCAATGCAGCAGGTGCTGCAGAGAGCTTTTCAATGACCGAGATCAACCTGATTCTTTGCAAAGATGCTTCTTCAATACATGTCAATGGTTTATCTTATCACTTTTGTTTCATACCTTTTGTATCAATAACATGAATAGATTCAGTCGGTCAGGAGACTGACCTCACAGTGTTCTGATATGTTTGCACACGGTGTGCATGCGAGTAAATTAATAAATGTAGTGTTGTTTTTTCACTTTTCCCACATCGTGTGTGGGCTGATACACTTCTTGCTTGTAAGTGCTGAAATTGCTTCAGCCACAATCACAATGAGGCCCAGAGAGAGACTGGAGGCCACACACGTCTCTTTGAGTAATATGAGTTAATGAGAACACAAAACCCACAATCACTGAAGCAGTTGTCTCGTCTCTACAATGGTGCTGTCGAAACACAGGGAGCCCCAAACATTAATTTTGGTTGAAACCATTCTGAGCAAATGTAAAACTGAGTGTGTGCCCACTCCAGTGACACCTTTTCCTTTTGAGAGAAACATCTCACAGCAGATGGATGAATATGTAGAAGCATAATCACAGAATGAATAATAATTATCATCTTTCTTGTCTCAGCCTTTTCTCCGAGGAGGCTTCCTCCTACACAGTCGGATATATCAGCAGGCTACTATGATTGGTTGATACCTGGATTATTGCCGACATACCAGATACAGCTTATAAATTCATGTTGGCAGAAGTCCAAACAGAGGTTGCAGTACATGTTTTGTTTGCTGCATTTTTATACATATTTACTCTGTAATGTTGATATTGGTGTCTGCATTAACAACTCTAAATCCTTCCTTTTTTAACCCTGTTCCTGAGTAACGGTATTAAACCGTTGAGTTGAACATGACGCAGCATTGTAAGCAGGCAAAGATTCACCCAAAATGTTACCTCGTCTTCTGTTGCTTAGACGTAAGCCGATGAACTGATTAACTAGGCATGCTAATCCTAATGACATTTAACTCTGTTTGCAAGCACATCCCAACAAAGTACCATTAGCCAAAGCAATCAAACTGATTCATTTTGTTTTTCTAGCATCACATTTTAGAAGAAATGGCAACAAACCCAGTTCTGAGTGAACTGTTTTCTTTAGAGAGTATGTGATGTGGCAAAGTCAGCTGCTCAGACCCTCTCATAGCTTAAGAGATAACGTGACTTGCTTTAATTAGCTCCAGCACCGAGCAGTGTTTACTGTTTGACTCGGCATCTGAAACCCAAACACCAAGTCCAAATGTAGCACACAGGCCTGATGTGCTCTGTAATGAATCCCATTAGGAACACGAGAGATTCTGCACGCAAGACCGCAGTATAGTGAAGAACAACAATGTTGTTTGTGAAGTAAAACATTGATTGGCTGACGAGTTTCTCTGGCTGTTACTGATTGGTTGAAGGGTGTCATAAAGTTTATTAATTGGTGATATATGATGATTGTTACACTGTGGTTCGGATTCAGTGGGAGAGACGGTGACTTCTTTCAGCACCATGGACAGCACCAAGAAGATAGTTGGTACAACAAACCTAAAGCTATTCAGTTTGTCCAGAAACAAGTCATTTACTTATTAAATGACAAAACGAGGACGAGATGATGACGTATGACAATAGTTAGACTTAGTAAGTGACTCGGGGAGCTTATGTAGGGATCCTAGTTCATAGTACCTGCTGGCTGGATTCTCTCCTCAGGAGAATCTGGTTGTAGTTACATGCTGCACCATCTGCAGGAGCCTCTTGTTTCACTTGTTAGATTTGTAGCTTGAATCCTGTGTGTCTCTGTTACTCTCCAATGAGCTGTCCTGTAACTGAATAATTCATTCCACTTTGTTCAGATTCACACAACGCGACATGCTCGCTTAAACACCGTATAATCACCATCAGTTATTCAACAATACAGTTAATGTTTAATGGTATTGGGTCTCGTTTGAAGGAGGCTTATTGTTTGTTTTGATTATTGTGATGATGCCGCAGCTTTCGTAGAAAAAAAAGATAATCGTACATCTGATCCCTTCCTGTACTTCCTACTCATTGTGTAGCCGGCTGACACTGATTCATGAGCTTTAAACCGGATTTTTTTTCTCATCCGTTGTGTTTTTCAGTGAATTAAAGTTCCATGTTTCAGTGAGCTTTCACAGGAGACCAGTGTTTTTGTACCAGGCTTCAAAGAGAAAATATAGGGACAGACATTTCCTGGTATTTTAAATTGTTTAAAGGTTCTCTGCAGTTATGTTGGCTTCAAATGTCTAAACATGATGACACAACAATGAACAAAGTACTAGTAATAAGGTGTTATTATGTCGTCCTATATCAGTGAAAGACACTTATTGATCTTCAGCTTTAATAGCGTGGTGCTCTGATCTCAGGTGTCGCGCCCCGTAGCATTAAAAGCATCTTTTCTGTATGACTGTCTTGGAAAAAAGTCTTTTTTTCTCACTGCTTTCTACGGTCTCTTCTTGCTTATGTGGCTGTTATTACAGAAATGGGCTCCTGACTTATGCTTGCAATTTATTCATTCATCCACTATATCGCTACCGCTCTGTACGTTTTGTTTAATTTGGAAACATCTCTTTCCTCTCAGTGTCGTATGATTTCTGTTATTCTCTGAGGCAATCGGTCGTCTTTCACCCCTCTCCCCCGCTGTCACCCTCCCTCCCTTTTGCACTTCCGTCCCTCCTCGCTGTCATTTATGTTCCTGTCTTGCCTTTTCGATTTCTTGTCTCCATTACCGCCCCTCTCCCTGTCTTCCCCCCTCAGACCAGAGCCTCATGGTCGTGGGGAGCGCTCTCAGCCAGGCCAAGCAGACTCTCCGCTCCCAGAGCAGGACGAGGAGATCCTGGGCTCTGATGACGACGAGCAGGAGGACCCCAACGACTACTGCAGGGGTAGGAGTTGTGTATATATATCCAAGCCAATAAAACATAGCATCAATACAGTGACATAAATGGTTACTTTTGTATAGTATTGGCATATATTTTACACATTACTGTGGATAAAGGACTATACATCTCATTTGATGTAGCGATAAATGTGTTTTTCTCTCAAATCCACTTTGATTCATGTTCATACACACACTGTCATACGCAAACATACAATAACTAAACGTTGTTTGAATGTATCTGCATCTTTCTTGGGTCAGGTGGATACCACCATGTGAAGATTGGAGATCTGTTCCACGGGAGGTACCATGTGATCCGGAAGCTGGGCTGGGGGCACTTCTCCACCGTGTGGCTGGCCTGGGACATCCAGTAAGTTTTGCTCCTAAACTTCACTGCGTGAAAGTTAGATGCTGATGTAAACAAAAGGGCCACGGATTTTAGCCATGCTGCCTATAAATAAGATATTATCATATTATTATTATGATCTAACCCTGAATAGTACGTATTGAGTATCATGTTGCAATTACAACAACACGTCCATGTGGTTGAGTTAAATCCTTGATTTTGTGGGGGGTTTTTTTTTTAAGGGAGAAGCGCTTTGTGGCCATGAAGGTTGTGAAAAGTGCTGAACATTACACAGAGACGGCTCTGGATGAGATCAAGCTGCTCAAATCTGTAAGCCACACAATCACCACGACATCAATATGTTCACACAGTCCAGTGATTCCAGTGTCCGCTACTTTCACAACCCTCTGCGTGTTTTCCAGGTGAGAAACACAGATCCCAGTGACCCCAGCAGAGAGAAAGTGGTGCAGCTTCTAGACGACTTCAAAATCTCTGGAATGAACGGCACTCGTATCCTTTTGTTGTTTAGAAGTTCATGTGTGTTCCTAAAATACAGAAATCCACTTGGCGCATACTGATACATTTTCTGGCTTTGTCAACCCATAGTTAACACTGTAGAGGGTTTTCCGGTGCAACAACAGGAACTTAAATGCTTGGTGTTCTGTTCTTCTGTTGCTGTCTCAATGTGATGGTTTGGACGTACTGATTACACTCATTCCAGGCCAGATAGCCAGTTCCGTGTTGAACATCCAAGGGGTAAGACTGCATCTCGTCTGGCATTCATTCAGCTCATCCTTGGGATTGTGCTCGAAGGCCAAATTTGTCTGCATTACTTTTAAAAGATAAGCATATCTGAGCGAGAGCTCTGCCAGAATTACAATTTGAGGGCCAGTCATTTGGCAGTCTCCTGCATATTTATGACAGATTCACACTCCGCCTGGCTGTTAATGGTTCACATATGTTCATCTGACATTCGGCTAGCTGTGTGCCTTAGCACGTCTTTAAGTGTCACAGTGTCCCCCCCCCCCCCCGATGTATCAACACTGGCTCCATCCCCGTCTCAGGCACCGCGCCCCGACAGAACTCAACCACTGTCGATTGAGAAAGCTATGAGGAAGTGGCATTGTATTAGTCCTTGACTGTGCATTTCTTCAGATGTGTGCATGGTATTTGAGGTGCTGGGCTACCACCTACTGAAGTGGATCATCAAGTCGAATTATCAAGGCCTGCCCCTCCCCTGTGTTAAAAGCATCATACAACAGGTACTGTACAGCTGCACCCAAACTTTGTCTATAAAATATCACTTAGGAAAAATTGGCATTTCATGTTTTTGGACTCTGGATTGCATTATTCATAAACTGGTTCATTCCAGTGTAAGATCACAGAAATCTTGATTTGTCGAGAATTTACGTATTAAACTCCGAAACATCCGTCATTTTGACACTCCTGACTTTTCTGCGCTGCAGGTTCTGCAGGGTTTAGACTACCTCCACACCAAGTGTAAGATCATCCACACAGACATCAAGCCAGAGAACATTCTACTGACCGTCAACGATCCCTACATCAAGAAAATGGCCGCTGAAGCTACTCAGTGGCAGAAGACTGGCGCTGCACCTCCCTCGGGTTCTGCAGGTTTACAACCTTTCTCTTCCTCAGTGCTTCACCGAGCAGCTTTTGTGGTTTGATCGGCATGTAGCTGACAGCAAAGACGTTTGCTGTTTAGATTTAGCAGCAGGTCCAATGCTTTTCATTATTTGACTGACATTTTACTGACACTAACTATGAGCAATTATCCTCAAGTATTGCCATTAATACGACTATAATCATAGTGTCTGTGTGTGAGATGTAGGCCTTGAGAAACTCTAAAGCCTGTGGAAGTTTCTAATAAAAGAATGACGCTGAGCTGTCTATCAGAATGAGTCACCACTGGAGTGTCCTGCTGAGTCCATTACTACAGCTCAGTGTGAATCAACCCCGCCACCTGGACAGAATACTAATTATAGAGAGGCGACGGACACGCCACGAATGTCGCTCCCAAATGTCGCTCCCAAATGTCGCTCCCAAATGTAATCCCTTTTGGTTTGTTTTCTGTCTCCCACAGTGAGTACAGCCCCAGCACCCAAGCCAGTAAGTTATGTTTTAGTTTTTTACTTAATCGAGTGACTTGAATACAAGTTAAGTCAGAATACACGCTTAGATGTTCTTCCTCTCCACTTGATTCTCTTTTCCAAGATGGCCAAAATGTCAAAGAACAAGAAGAAGAAGATGAAGAAGAAGCAGAAGAAGCAGGCAGAGATGCTGGAGAAGAGGATCCAGGAGATGGAGGGAGGAGCTAATGAAGGAGAAGAAGAGGAGGAGGAGGAGGACGACGAGGAGACGACGACAGAGGCCGCCGAAGATGCGACTTCGTCAGCCACCCTCTCCATGTCTGCCACGCTGCAAGACATCGCTAACCATACTGTCACAGGTGAATGGGATGGAGGGGAGCGGATAACTGTTTTAGTTGAAATGTTTGTGTTGATTTATCGTTCTAAAAGCTCCGTATTTTACCACAGACCCGACTCCTGACGAGCAGCCCCAGCAGACACCCGAGGTCAATGAACGGAGAGAGAATGAGAGCGGAGCGGAGGTGAAATGCAACGGTCACGCTTCCACACCGGAGGACGACACCAGTCCAGAGGTACAAGGGACCAAGCAGTCGACGGAGGAGCAGGAGGACCAACAGAACGCAAACCAGCCAGACAGCAACACAGAGACCCAGGACACGTTAAGTAACAAAGAAGAGCATCAGATCTGTAACGGTACACCCGGGGACGCCGACCTGCAGCAGCTCCCAGCCTCGCTCGGCCCAGACTCTGTCACGGTAGAGCTGAAGGAGGGAGACGAGGAGGACAAGAAGGGGGAGGAGATGGACACTCAAGGTGAGACCAAACGAGGGGAGGAAGAAGAAGACAGCCAAGACGGTTAGTTAAACCAAATGTAGGGTGATCCAGTATATACTCTATGATGTTAGAGTGGCCCGGACAGTTTTTAGTAAGAGCTGGAGGAGAACACACTGCATCAGAAAAGAGGTTGGCGTTCACAAAATGCCATCCCGGACATTTGCTTGTAAAAAGTTGTCCTGTTAAATATAATCCTTGGATTTTTATTCCCAATTGTTGGAATGACTCAGTGTACTCATGAGCATTCTGCCAGCTTAGACTTTCTCGGTCGTCTCTCATGTTTCTATATTTGTCGGCCATTCTTTGCCTGCTCCTCCACCTCACCCTCCTCTGTCCCTGTCTCCCTCTACTCTCTTTAACAGGAGCATCAGGCAATATGTTAGTGAACCCCCTGGAGCCTCTTAACGCTGACAAGCTGCAGGTTAAGATCGCTGACCTCGGCAATGCCTGCTGGGTGGTGAGTGCAAATTCACACTAGCACTTTAAATTTTTCAATGAAGCACTCTTGTTGCGCCCTTGAAAGAGTTATCGACGGTGAAGATTACCTGAGCTTTTAATCTTTCGTAAACACCTGCTCAGTTATGTCTTTGTTGCCTCAGCATTCAGGATTTCTCTTCTTCCCGCAGAACAAACATTTCACAGATGACATCCAGACGCGGCAGTATCGTTCTCTTGAGGTGCTGACAGGAACCGGCTACAGCACACCGGCAGACATCTGGAGCACAGCGTGCATGGTAACACAGTCACAAACCTTTATTTGATTAAACCCATACATCTGCCAGTTATTAAGTTCATGCGTGTATGTTTTTTTTTTTGTTTTTTTATCCTCAGGCCTTCGAGCTCGCCACCGGAGATTATCTGTTTGAACCCCACTCTGGAGAAGACTACTCCAGAGATGAAGGTCAGTGTCTGCTTCTCCCGAGACATCGTTTTTTAACTAGAGAGCTACTCCAATAACCAAGACACGCTGACATGAATGTGAATGCCCCGTTAACATGGGAAGTCGTAGACGTGATGTAAATTCTACAGACTGCAGTTCTTCAGACCTTCTTTGAAAGCGTTGTGTTTCCCTCGGTGCTTCATCAGCTGTGTTTGCTCGTCTCTCTGCCTCCCTGTAGATCACATCGCGCTGATCATCGAGCTGCTAGGTAAAGTTCCCCGGAAGCTGATCCTGGCAGGCAAATACTCCAAGGAGTTTTTCACCAAGAAAGGTAAACATGCCGGCCCTGCCACCAGCTGTCTGTTGTAGCTAAATCCAGTTTAAAATGTGCTCAGGTATTTGGTGCTAAAGTTACTTTTTCAGGCGGTTCCCTTGAGGGCTCAAGGGAACCGCCATCTGCTCAGTTATGAGGGCAGGGCTTCCAAATGAAATATAGTGCAGCTATTTCTAGTTCATAGAGGTGGTGCAGTGGGTTTATGCCAACAAAAAAAAACACTCTTTATTGATACATCACTGTCATTTTGCATCCTAAATAGGTAATACGCTAACATTCGGCATTGCAATCATTGAAATGTAACGTTTCCTCTCAGGCGATCTGCGTCACATCACCAAGCTGAAACCGTGGGGTCTGCTCGACGTGTTGGTAGAAAAGTACGAGTGGTCCAAAGACGAGGCGCACACCTTCAGCACCTTCCTGCTGCCCATGCTGGACTTGGTGCCCGAAAGGAGGGCCACCGCGGCCCAGTGCCTCTCCCACCCGTGGCTCACGTCCTAGAGGCCGGCCGTGCACACCTCCACCCTCGTCTTGTGAAGGGATAAATTAGGTTTGAAGATCCTGGGCTTGAAAACATCCAAGTAAACAAACACGTTCATGTCTGCAAGACCCTGTGACTGCATCGTGCCTGCATCCTCCCGTCGTGGCTCTCGGAGGCTTCCCACACACACTTTCACAGTAAAAAGAGAGAGAGACTGCTGCCGAGTCTTGGCCCTGGTTTGGATTACACTGGTGACTTCCGATATTTATGGCTCTTTTCTCTGGCTGTATAGGACTTATTGACCTCGCCCTCTTTTTTTCTCCTGACTCCAGCTCTTTCTGTGCAGCACATTTCTTTCTGTATTTTTAGCTATAGATAATGGACTGATGGTCAGATTTAAAAGGTTGCACTTGTCTACAAATGCAGAAAAGGGCAGGATTATAACAAACATCCAACCTACATACTGTTATCAGTTAGGTCATTAATAAGCCAAATCTGTCTTTGTTTGCCAGTCGTCTTGATAGCCGTGCCAGCTTTTTATGCCTTTGTGTGTCATGTGTGCAAAGTGCTCAATAATAAGTGTGTAATGCTAACAGCCCCGATGAGAGACTAGTAACATTCGTAGCACTCTTAAGTTAGCTTTTGTACATTTGTATACTGGCAGAACTACATGATTGGAACGCATAAAGGAAAGGGACTCATCACAAATCGCACACTATTTTTCAGGAAACCCAAACTGTTTCAGCATCACCTGATGTGTTCTTTTTAAAAAAGCACTTAAATACACAAAATAATGTGGAAAAGATTCCGATGTTTCATACCTGGATCACTTTTTCATTTTTGCTCCATATAAGGTATCCCACATTAACAGTCAAAGCAAACTTCATGTGTGTGCACCAAAGAGTTGGCCTGTTTCGTCTCCCTCTCTGCTCTATATGTTGAAGGCACAAGGTTTGAGCATTTTTGTTAACACTTTTTGGCGATGCCTCGAGGAATATTCAGGTGATATCCAGTGAAACTAAAGGTGTCGAGTGTTTCCACTGCACACGGAGGTGTTGGATTTGGGAATAGATTGTACTAAAAACAAACGCTGTAATCATGCTTTGACTCTTCTTAAAACCATTTTGCTTGTTTTTTCTACAAAGTCTCTTCTCCTTCTGTCCACGTCTCCGCTCTTAATCCGATACGGTTTTTTTTCTGTAGGGTAATAAAAATAAACATTTTTCAAAATTTAACTAGATCATATTTGCCATTGCAGTGTTTCCGTCCTCTGACACACACACATACATATGCAGGGGTATAAATCCCCACGTTTCTGTCGTTAACATAATGCATCATCAGGACACCCAGCGGGCAGACACAGTCAGATTTTATTTTCACTGAGTACTAACCCATCCATGATCAACATTTATTTTGAGAATTGTTTGGAGCATATTTTATTAGATTGTCGAACCAAAATCATTACAAAATGCTCCTTGAACACATCACAATTATTAGTTCCTGTCGACTGATGAACTTACATTTTAAGGCTGACGTGTAGAACAGCCCGCTAAGCACTTATGACAATTCTCTCCGTAGTAACGAGGATCTGCTCCGGTCAAGCAAGTTCACTTGTTTCAGTGCGAAATGCTGGAGCGTATGGTCTGAGCTGGAGGTGGACAGTGACTCCTCCCATGTTTTCAAAGTCAGGATGAACTTCGTGTAAGTTATTTTTAGATTGTAATTAACTGTCCCGAAGCCCATGAATACATTTGAATCCCTCGAGTCGGTTGTGCTCCTCATGAAGCCTTGTCCATCTCTTCCCTCCGTTGTCCACACAGGGCCTAGGCGTTATCTGCAAGTGGGAGAAAAACATTACTGCAAAGGGAAGGAGATGTACTGTAAATGTCAGTTCAAACACAGACAGATATGTGTCAGTAGCTCAGCTGAATATAAACATTAACACCTAACAAGACCAAGAGCCTACAGCCCTGCTAGTGGCTCTGTGAGGCTGTCCTCAAGCAGCTTTGACCCGATGCTCGCATCAGCATGCAAACATGCTCACCATGATACATCTAGCATGTTGATGTTTATCATCTTAGTTTAGCATGGTGGCATGCTAACATTTGCTTAATAGCACAGCTGAGGCTGACAGTGTTGGACAAATGCTGATGATGAGCTGATGATGGTCCTAGATGAAAGGTCATGGGATCTGAAGTATCATAGTTAATCATCTGGTAAATATGGATGGCAAAGCAATGAGTGATCATTTATACAGAGAGCCTCTGCTTCACCTCTTTCCATTGTCCCTCCAGGACTTACACCAAACCCTCAGAGCTTTAACCTTCCTCCTGCTACCTCCCTGTCCTCCAGCCTTCTTCTTCCTCTTGCATCTTCTTCTCTCCATCTAAATATCCTCATCCAGCCTTTGTCGTCCTCTGTCACCCCACTATTTTACTCTCCCTCCACTCGGATACCTTTCCCCTCCACCTGGAAGTCCTCTGGCAGCAGCTTGTCCTGCCGGCTGCCCAGGCTGAAGGCCAGGAAGGAGAGGATGAGCGAGTCCATGATGCTGATGATGGCCAGGATGTAGGCCCAGCGCACCGTGCAGTTGCCCAGGGTGTATTTGTCGGTCCGCTGGCCACACATGCGCTTCACCTCGTCCGAGTCCCAGCCGTCGGGGTAGATCATACAGCCAATCACCATGCAGGTGCCTGAGAAGGAGGGAATTTTGGTTTAAAATCGGGTACTTTGACATCAGCACTCACTCTTAGCTGTTGAAAGTCTGTGCATGTATTCAAATGCTCAAACTTTCAAGGATTTTGATGGAATTTACTGCTGTTCCTTTATACTGTTGGTTGGATAAGTCGAACATTGTTTGGCGTCACTTTAGGCTCTGGGTAATTGTGATGGACTTTTGTCTCTAGTTTTTAATTTTTACAAACCAAACAATCAACGGATAAAATAAACAGCAGATAAAGGAAATAGTCATTAGTTGCAGTATATAAAATAGTTCAAAGCCAGCTTCACCTCCGCCAACTTACTGCTTACACATCAATGCATAATGAATCATAATGATAGTAATATAACTCACACTGGCCCTCTTTCTCATTAAACACTTTTAATTTTAGTACTTTATATAAATTTACCAGATTATTCTTACATTTACTTCAGTAATATTTTCAATCCAGGATTTGTATTGGGGTATTTTCCCAGGGTGGTATTAATAATTGTACTTGAGTAAAGGATCTCAATACTCAATCCTCAACTGAATGTGTTTGATTTTTAGATACTGACAAGCTAACTGGTAAAAACGCTTCTTGCTGCTGTTACCACAACCACCTTCTCCACCTCCAACGCTGAAACAGCAAACCAGACAGAGAAGCCGCCGGAGAAATTAAATATACACTCCACTCATTCAGGTACACACACACACACACACACACACACACACACAGTTGAGTTGCCTAGCAACTCCAGAGTATCTCAACTCCAGAAAGATGAACTTGTTCATCCATTATTAACTCTCGCCCTGGTGCCGTCCCACCTAAGCACGAGGAGCCACGTGAACTATCTGGTGACGAGGTGAAACGTTAGAACACACTTTCACTTGCTGAGCCTCACACACGACCTTTCAACCTTTCAACCTTTCAATGCTCACTTTCTCAAGTCCCTTCCTTCATTTCAATATTAATCATTAAACTGCAACTTCTCATCGGCTACTAACACGTCAAGTTAAATGTTGACACCACCTGAAACAATTGGGACTCAATTATTGCATTACCCTGTGTACATACATGATCAAACCAGTTAATCAAAAGGTTTTGTTTCGAGGCCGGCACCAGGCATGGCCATCCACCAAAGTTAGGGGGAAAAAACACTGACTACTATTGAGAAATATCCTTTCACTGAAGCTAATTTTGGTGAATAACATATTTTATAAAGCGCATACATCAAGATTTACTACGCACTATGAAAGGAGATGAAGTTCCTGTTATACAATTTAAAAAAGAATATGGGACGTTTAGATTTTGTCTGAGCCATAGCATCTTTAAAAACAAATTAATTCATGAAAGTTCTGTGGAAAAAAATGAATAAACATGGTTAATTAAAGGCTTGAATAGATTACAAAAGATATAGGCATATTATGCATGTGTGTGTGTAATATACAGACATAAAAAGTCTGGCATTTATTGGAGCGCACTCATGCACACTGAGCGGGTGTGAGAGGCATGAAGAGGAAGAGGAGAAAGTGTAACTGCACACCTCCAGGTCCACATCATTAGTTTCATTACAGGCTCGTCCTTTCACTCGCAGCTACATCTGTTCACAAGCTGCTTCATGTTTCCAACACAGGATCATGTTTCCCTTCTGCGTCTGTTAAAGAGAACTACTGGAATGTAGCTGGAAATGGTCTTGCAATTTCAGTTTCTTTCAGAGTTCTTTCTATGCCTGAACCTACTCGTCGTTTCTTTCTGTATAAGGGCCTACAGTTAGTGGTGGCAGGTGTTCTGAGATTTTGGTTTTGTTTAATGTCGTGCCTTTGAGGTGGAAAGTAACTAAGTACTTCCATAAACTAATGTGATATGAGAAGGTCCTCACTGGTGTGGTAATAGAAGTATGCTGGGTGTGCAGACATGAAAAGAAACTCAAAGAGATAACAAGTCACAGATGCAACCCATAATTTGAAACAATACATTGAAACAATACAAAGTTCATATATTTTTGTATCGTTTTTGTACTGCATTTTGTTTTGTATATACAAAAAGTTACAAAATATATAGGATTAAAATGCTGATTGCCTTTTAATAATGTGATTGAAGAGGCTATATTCTAGTGTACATGTTTTTATATGAATCATATAAACTGCCAGGCCCTTTTTTGTAAACTTCTCTATTCAGCCACAAACTTTGGGTGAAAACCTGGTGCTCACTGGAGGCCAACTGCATCCACGCGCAGATCTTGTAGACGCTCCCCGCGTTGCAGAAGAAGAAGAGGCTGAAGCACACGATGCTGCCCACCACCAGCAGCATGGAGATCCCCACGAAGAACATGGCCGTCTTGAAGGCGCCAGACGGGATGGAGCCGAAGTCCAGCGCGCTCCCTTTGCAGGTGAGCTCCGAGGTGAGCGCGTTCCCGATGCAGTAGTGGAAGAGGCCGAAGTATCCCGCCTGCGGCGTGTTGACGCTGTCCCCGATCCAGTAGGGCTGGATGAACACCACCACGGTGATGATGGAGAAGGTGATGGTGGACACCGTCCACAGCACGCCCACGGCCCGGGCGTTACGCACGTAGTTGGTGTGGTAGATTTTGGCGGCCTCCTGAGCCGGGAGCATTGCGACAGAGAGGGCTTCTCAAATGTCTCTGAGATGGTCTGAAAAAGAGGGAAACTCCTTTTTCTTGGATTGTCCTTCTTCTGTAAACGTCTTAAAGAGTGAACAGGAAATGCCCTTTAGTTTCCTGGATCAAATATGACGTTAGATGGTCAATAATCTGTCTTTGTAGTTAATGTCACGACAGAAGTATTAAGTCTCCATAAACCGACTTGCAGTAACAGCAAGGGTTTTCTCCAGTGTGTTCAATGTGTTTCCTCTCGGCTGCGGTCCTCAGGTAGCCTAATGAATGATTCATGGTTATAAGATCCGCAGGATCAATGGCTTTAAGGACCTAGACAAACATTTGCAATGGTCCTCAAATGGATTCAAATACGTAGGCATAGATATGACACCCACAGCAGAGGGAAACAGGAATGATTCACAGGGGCTACCATGCAAAGTGCCACCTGTACATCACGACTATCTAACATCCATACCCGTTCATACACCGCAGGCACAGCCTTTTGCAATTTGGGGTCAAGTGTCTTGCCCAAGAACACATCGACCGATCCTCTGACTGAAGGACCACTGAGCCATGTTCCAGCAATATTTTTTATTCGATTTATGAAATGTGAGCCTATCCTGTCAAAAGTAAAGACCGAGCCAGTGGAAGGTCTGAATAACTTGTATGTACTACAGTCTAACACCAGATGGAGCTACAGAACTTCAGTGTGACCACATGTTCCAATCTCTAAAGGAAACTGACAGGATTGGAACTTTGTATCTTTATTTAACAGGCCAGATGTGTTAAACACCACAGGAATTTTGATTGAGTGGTGGTGGTGTTGAGGGTGTCAAATGTCAGTGGTTCAGTGATGGAAGTAACATTATTTTTTCCGTCTGTATGTTAAGTTGCATAAACCATAAATCAATTAGCCTACAACATCCTGGATGAAAAAAATGTAGTTAAGAGAAAATAAACAAGTATTATTAGTGAAAACGAATGCCAAAAGTAAAAGTATCCTACAAATTAGGTTTTTCAAACTGCATATATTCTGTATGTACAACATATATATAATAAATTATTAGATTACTATTATTGCTGATTCATGTATTAGCACTTTAATAATGTAACCCATTTATATTAGGTTGGTTATTTAAATCTATAGCAATAAATTATATTTTCTAAGATATGTTTTGTAGCATAATATAAAATCTATATTTGAGTCAAATATTTCCGTCTGAAATTTAGTGGCCTGTAAACCCATAAGCTGGTGTAAGAGGATGTTATATTTTCTTCCTCTTCTCCTGTTGGTGTGTATTCACCGATTGTTTGCATGTGTGTGGTGTCCTGTTCAAAATGATATCAGACATCTGCTACATTTTATTCCAGCAACATTAAATTGTTATGTCAGACAAAGCAATGTGTAAAGTCATGTTTGTGTTGCTTTGTTACAGTGAGACGCAGATGTTTCTACAATGCATTTCACACACAACTAAAGTGAAGTTGTGTTGCTAGCTGTAATGTAATAGCCTACATTGTCAGTGTTTTTCTCCATTGTTTTTCAGTGTTGTTTTCGGTATTGGCCCACAAACTGCTGCGCTAATCAGCCAATACGTATGCACACAATGCCCCTTGCTAACTGAATAATTTAATAATATTCAATAATGAGATTTTTGACCCAGAATCCATAATTTTCCCTAAGACGTGTCTGTGATGTTTGTTCACTCTTACTTTAGCCTAATATTTTTTTCTACTGTTGATCTGGTACGTGTAATAGGTTGATATATAGATCTGCAGTGTGTGTGTGTGTGTGTGTGTAGGAGTGTGGGCGCCGGCATGTCAATGCACTTAGCTTTATTAAGTGATACCGCCCTAGAGTGAGAGGAACGTTGTTTATAATCAAGTTATTTTGGACCAGCAATCCAATTTTCTGATACAGAATGGAGTGGGATTTCAGTGGTTGTGTGTGTGTGTGTGTGTCTTTGTCTTTGTCTTTGTGTGATGCTGGGATTTAATGCTTTCTTTGTGCATGTCCATGTTTTTATTTTTTTGCGCCTGCATGCATTTCTTCTATGAATGCATAATGTGATCAAACCTGTTAATCACAGCTCTCTAAGTGGATACATTAACTGACGTGAAAAGGCAGCAAATCATGAGCAAGACCTACTGACAGTGGTCACTATTTTACCTCAGTAACACTTAACAGAAGCTACACACAGTCGTTTAGTGAAACAACAGTTCTTCTTTAGAGGCTGTTCCCATAGAAACAAGGTGCCGGACGCTCCCAGAGAGATGAGCGGGGAGGTGACGGGGTAAGATGACAGGGAAGTTGAGCACATAGTTGAAAAATAATCTGGTAATGATAGCAATTTAATGACATATTGCTACTATAATGAGTGAGTTAAACTAGCTCGTAATCTAATGAGCCATAAAAATCACAGCTGGATTTAGTTCAAATTCTGGTTTCGGGAAGTGGACTTTACGAAAGTCTATTGTTAATAACACATTCACATAGGTATTATGGGTAATATGTTCCACCAGATATACTCTGTGTGTGAACTGAATGGATACCAAACGCTTGAGTAACATGTAAATAGTTATTTATGATTCACAGATGGACTCTATTACTCTTTTTTTAAATGTGTGAGTAACAGCAGGCAGTGGGCTCGAGGCCCTTAGAGCAACCCCTCCTTGTTGACCTACTCTCAGATCGCACACGCACACACCTCATGCCCTGTGATGTAGCATTAAATCATTCAATGGGTGTCACTACCTCTCTGAAACACCCCGAGGCTGCAGCAGCCACGATGAGCCGCCCTCCAGCCGAGACGCTGCCCGGCCACAGCCCAGCAGGAAGCGTCACAGCCTGGGCAAGAAACGGAGCAATGGGTCAGTACGTGCCCTGGGGAAGGAAGCTGGAATGTAGGACAGCGGAGCACTTTCTCCAACAGACTCATCCAGCTCTGCTGTCACAAGGACAGATACAGGAGATCATTCCTGCCCTCTGCTATTAGACTTTATAATAAAACGACTATAACTCCATTACAGTTTGTTTGGTTAAAATATCTTTGCACTACTGTTTAGTTAGTTAATGTCGCAGGGTGTGGTGGAGGACTCAAATGCAGACAAGACCAGAAGTAGAGTGAAGCAGGTATTTAATGAAATCAGAACAGGAAACTTACAGGAACACAACAGGGAATCCACGGACGAGACAAGAGAGGCAGGCAGATGGAGAAACCGGGAACAGGACTAGCCAAACGGGCAGGTAGACATGGCAATGATCTGGCAAGGAGTGACTGAGAGGGAGAGGTTTAAATAGTGGCTGGATAGAGGCAGGTGAGGGGAGTTGTGCTGATGAGGAGGGAGTGCTTGATTAGTGAACAGTGGCAGGTGAAGGGAATTAGGCTGATGATGAGGGAGGCTGACAGGTGCACTGAATGAGCTGATAGGTGAGTGAGAAATAAAGAGACAGGAGAGAAGGGGCAGAGCTGTGACAGTTAATCTAACTTTGCACTATTCTATTTCATTGTATATATTGTTCATTTTTATACTCAATATACTTTGATTGCTTACCCATATCTATAAATGCTGCTGTAGCAAATAAATTTCTGTCTGTCTGTCTGTCGGTCTATTACAATATCAGAGTCCAATATTAAATTAAATATTATCATATTGGGATACCGTTTAAATGTTTTTTGTTCCTGTGGTATACATTTCTTAACTGATTAGTTGTAGCTGTGAGAAAAGAGCAGTTCATGTTTATTAATTATTGTTATATCATAAATGTCATCAAAAAGTACTTTAGAATAAAACAATAGTTTACCTTTTAGGGAAATACGCTTATTTGACTTTCTTGCAGAGAATTAGCACTATCTTAGCAAGAAAATGCTACAATAAATACTGAGAATATACTGAACCTAAGGATTAGGAGTTAACATCCCAGCCAGCAGTAAAGACATTCACTACTTCTACTGTAAGCAGTGACAGCTGAGCTCTGCAGGGTGATGGTGGGACAAAGCACTACAGGGGTCCATCGCTGCCAGGACCTGGCAAGGACCTGCTCTGCATTATGCCACTGCAGCTGACACACATAAATCTAAACCACATAAGCAGCTCCTCTGTCACACACAGGCAGACATAAAACACAGACTCCATCAAACACATGTGCACACAACCATTAGACTCAGTCATGTAGGAGGGAAGCAAAGAAATGAAACGTTACACAACTGAGCACAATTCAACTTTTGTTTTTCGGTGGTGCGCCTCTTCCTCTGCTAGCTAGCCAGGTATTTGTCAAATGTGTGTTCGAGAAATCATGGCCAATTCAAACAGTTTTGTTACGGTAAAGAATAGGGGATTAGTTTATGGAGCTTCAAAGCCAAATATAGAAAACGCATGTGAGGGATTATAGACACATCAAAAGAATAAGGATGGAGAATATATTAGGGTGCAGTTTCGTCTTCCATCTCCCTCTCTCTGTCTTGTTTTCTGGTCTTCTTTACTGAAAGAAGCCATGTGACGCAGATGCTGGTGCAGAGAAAGAGGATTTTGGATTGGCATTAAATGCATCGTAGTCTTTGCTTAATCTAAAACACAAGGTTGCTATATGTGTTTTACACGTCATAGTGTATTATGGTGGCATATTGTGTCGGACATTTGGCAGTGAATGATTTCTGTTTTTGTGCATTATCAGTGTCTTTTAGATTTTTTTTCCATCAGTGTGGCCATGAAATATGTAACATTGGAAAATAATATGTTAAACATTTGAAAAATAGCAGCAAAAAGATAGCACATTAAAGTTAAGAGTCATCTTGTTTTCAGGTCACAATATAATCACATGCTGCAGAAATGAGGAGATGGCCCACAAGCATTCATGAAGATCATTTTTGTGTGTGTGTGTGTGTGTGTGTGTGTGTGTGTGTGTGTGTGTTGCTGGAAGAAGAAAAGTGTCAAATCCAAAGAGGAAGACTGAATTGCTGACTTCACCGTGACTGCCAGAACCCGAGGGAGGCTGAAATGATTGTATTTGAAGGCCTCTTATGTAATTAGGGTGCTGTTATTTTGATGACATGAAGCCCTAAATACAGGGATTATGCTGCAGTTTGGCAATTGCAATTTTTAAAATATCTTCAGGGTTGTATAACCCACACAGTCTGGTTATGAAATGTGCTTTTTACATTTTAAAGTGCTGAGGAGGAGGTGGCATACACGTAACAAATCAGCCAGGGTTTATTTAAAGACTGTAAACATGCCGGAAGAGGAATAAAAGGGACTTCAAATATGCTTAGGGACACAGTGCAGCCTAATTATGTAATAGTTGGTATGGTCTTAAAAGTTCACCAGACAAAATAAGCTGTGTGAAGTGAGTGTGTGTGCACCACCCTTGTTTGTGTGCGTTGTTGTTTGCAGTGGCTGGTGGCCGGTTCCCAGCAGATCTAGGAGGATTATAGCTTTATCCTCATAACTGGATGTTAATCTTGTGGGGATTCCAACACTGCTTCTGCAGATTGTAGCCTGTGCAGCACTGACATCAGCACCTGGTCCTCAGGACACACACACACACACACACACACACACACACACACACACATGCTTAGAGTCATAAGCTCCTCAGTGCACACAGAATGGTTTATAGCTCATGCAATCATTCGCGGACTGTGTTTCATTACATAAAAATGATTGGTGTTGTGGCTGTGCAGGGACTTTTTGCTGAGCTGGCGTCTATATGAACATACTAGAATATGCATATATGGCCATTTAGATTAAATTGTATGCTTCTGGAATTGTGAAATTGTTAACTGCACGGTGCTGGGAAATGACTTGCTGCAGTTAAGACATGACTGTCGTTGGCAAACTGTTTGTCAGTATTCAACATGAGTCATAGATAATGAAGAGGCTGAGGATTTGGAAAAGTTGGAGTTTTCTCTGCAAGTGTAGATTTGAGTCTTGCTAGATACACTGGCATCATCACTGACAGCTGCAGTGGCACTGAACATATGGTAAAGTCACTTGCATGGATCAGTTAAAGAAGTCTAACAGAAACCTGGCTGTGAGAGGAAACTACATTGAGGAGAAGTTGGTGGTGTAGATTTAGAATAACTATTGAAGAGAGAGAGAGAAAGCGACGGTTAAAGAGCATCATGTCTGACTCAACTTAAAGAAAGTTCTCCTTTTCAAGAAATCTGACTCAGCAGTAGAGGGAAGTGAGCAGATGTGGAACTCCCATTCAAACCAGGGAAAATTAACTCTTCTGCAAGAACCTAATAACGTTCGCAGGAGTTTCAACCTTTGACCTCAAAGCGTTTAAACCTCCTCTCCGTCATGGGAACAGTCTCCCCCTGTTTATGGCAGTTTAACTGTAACTGACCTCAGATGTCGCCGCCGGCAGTCGGTGTGCCGTAGGTGTGTGATCAGTACAGCCCGTTGTGGGTGTGCCGCTGGGCGGGGCCACACAGGCCGATCGAGCCCGCTGATTGGTCAATAATGTTCGATTGTGGTGGGGCTAATACAGCAGTCAGTCCAACTGCATGTCAATCGACTGCGATTATGCTGCTTTCAGGGGCTCCTCGTATTATTGTATTGTCACAGTAAGTGCAGTTTCATTTAAACAGGACTTGAAGCTTGAGTTTTAGAATTTTTGGGGTTTGAAAAGGTGGCGATGCAATCCGGTTGCATCGTTGGAAGTGTAAGATCCAGTGTTTTTGAAACCTGAGCAACACTGGGCACTGAAAGTCAGTTTATTTCGGCCTCTGCTGCATCAATTTGGACTATTGTTGTTTTAATGTCTCTTTATGGAAGTGACATTGCTTGAATACCCCTTTCAGCAAAACAACGGAATACTTCTGACACCTTTGTGTGCCCGGCACATTCTTCTTGTTTCTCGGATGTTTTGTATTTGCATAATATATCAGCAGCTGAGCCAGCTTATATCGGTATCCATGGTAATAGGTTGAGTGTGCCAAGTGGTAAATAATTATTTATTCGAGATTTTGTATTTTAATCTAAGTTCTGGGCGAAGTTATCCTCCATGGTCCCCTGTAGTGCACTGTTATATTTTGGAGAGGCCATATACCCTACAACGCGGGTTTCGAATTTCTCCTACAGCCCCTGAAGGCAGCAGCATCCCCTCCAGTTTTACGGTCTCAGCGCCGACTCAACGTGATCGCGTCTCTCACGGAGAGCCGGTGTGGTGTCTGAGGAGCGCTCAAAAAGCTTCGCTCGTACGCACTTTAAACAGGATGTAGCGACTGAGACACATCACGGAAACACACAGAAAAGAAGAAAGCGGGTTAAACTCTGCGACGTGACAAAACACCACTGAGCCAGAAATGAGCGGCACAGCGGAGGAGAAGAAGAAGAAGAAGAAGAAGACAGGAGAAGTCCCGATGAGGAAGCTCATCGTCGGCAGGTCTTGACGGCTGTCCCGCTGACCTGAGACGCCCAGCACCGCACGGTTTACACGCACACCGAAAACCCAACACAGCCGACATACTCCACCACATCCCGCCGGTGGACACTGAAAGCGACAATGGCGAGCCAGGGTGACTGCTGTGTGAAGGTTGCATTGAGGTAAGCCTCCGACGTGTGCATGCTGGAAACCTGCCGACCTTAGCAGACCATATTGTGCCTCCTGGCGAGCAATTAAATGCATCCTGCAAAAAACGCTTTTGTGTTATTTCACTACTCCTCACCTTCTCTGCACATTGTGAGATAACAGCTACAGAGAAGAGTGCGAGCACCTTGTTTTGTAATACATGGGTGGTGCTCTGCACGGTATTGATCAGGCAAAAGCACGCGCCACCATCTCCGGGGCATTATCCGTTATGCATGTGTATCAGCGGCTTCATTATTTAACATTGGGTGAAGTGACAAGGACAGCTGCAGCCAGGTGCAGGGAGGAGAATGGGCGTTTCTCCTCAAACCCTTTTCTGTATTATTATTCCTACAGACACTATATGCGGTCTCTTCTTATCATACGGTGTCTAGTGAGCACCTTACATGTGTATGGCAGAGTTAGCTCCACAGCCAGGCTTTGAAACCAGAGGCTTGAAAAAAAAAAAAGAAAAAAATCCTGCCTCTGCAAATGAATCGAGCACAAAGAGACGCTCTCCTTCAGAGCTGTGTCATCCACTGCCTTTGTCGGACACGCACCCAAAAGCTCAGGCAGCAGAGCAGCTTTTTGGATTTGTGTAAGGAGATATTAGCAACCCATTAATTGACTAAATGCATATTGGGAGGGATCACTTAAATGTGCTGACATTGCATGCCTCTATGACTGGAGTGTGATTGGGTCTGTAATCATGCGTTTTTTTTTGCAGTGTGTTGTGTTGGGGGGGCTGAGGCGGTGGTCTGACAGACCCACTGTCCTTTGACTCAGACCCTCCCAGAGTTGGTCACATCAGCTAATGAGTCCCCCCATTGGTCATACTGACTATCCTTAAACCCTCTCTTATTGTGCAAATGTAGAGCAACAAAGTAATAGTGAAATTGAACTATTCCTCTCTAAAGGACCCCTTTGAGGTCCTCCAACCTCAGTTTGGGAACCATTGATCCAACCTAGTGGGGGATGAGGATGGGGGGGGGGTTGGCCCAGTAGAGCAACCCTTTTTAAGATGAACCTTACAACTGATGGCCCCATTTCCCCAGGGGAGGTTTCAGAGTCACTTGTCAATCAGCCACTGAGTGGATCTCCTTTGTGCTCTCGCTCACAGCGTCAACTGTAACAGGAAGTGTGTGTGTGTGTGTGTGTGTGTGTGTGGGGGTGTGGGAATGAAAAAAAAAAAAAAGAAGCAAAGCGAGAAGGTGAAAAGAGAAGCCAACGAGACAGCTGGTGGCTGCTGCTCAACTGAAGTTATTGATTGAAGTCTGAAAGAGGCTTGTTGTGTAAGTGTAGCTGAATGAGTGAAGGTGACAGATTCGGCTTCACACACCACCGGTACGCCTGTGTGTTCAGCTGTCCCCGTCTTTTTTTTGTGATGCAAATATTGACGTGATTGTCAGTGGTTGAGCATATTGTCAAAACAGGGTAACAATCAACACAGAGGGCCTTATAATCACAGCAGTCCCCCTTTTAAATCAGTTTTATTAGCACAAACTTGACATTGTAATTAAACAGAGTTTGTGTAATTACATGACTAGTGGGCGGGCCAGCGCTACTCCTTTTCATCGTGTGTGATCTGTGTGTGTGTGTGTTTTACATGCACTGCGAATGCCCCCAAAAGCGTCTGTGCGTTTGACAGGAAATGGGAAGCCCACAAATAAACACAGAGAGGGATGACTTCCTGTCGTATAAAGCGACTGTTTTCCCAATGATCGCCATGCGTCTTTTTTTTTTTTCCTGAGAAAGTCGGCTGCTGATAAGAGAGGATGGTGTGTATAATTGCTCCCATGTTGTGCAGCCCCTCGGGCTGGCTGCATAAAGCTTGGGACTATGTGTTTGTGTGTGCATGTGTGAGTATGCATTTGGAGGGCAATGGGGTTGTCATGTGGGCCAACCAACACACACACACATAGTCTGAGTATCGCCAGTATCCATTTCCTGAATGTCTGCACTGCTTTCCCTAAACAATGGCCATATAAGCAGTGACATGACCTACAATTCTGCATTGAAACCTCAGAAATGGATGTGGATATGACACACACCCACACACACACACATTAACTTAAGTCAATGGTTCTGCATTGCAGTCAAACATGACGCTATGCATGTAACTAAGTGGCCGTCGTTAAATTGCGTCTGGCTTGGCTGTTTCATCTTCAAACTGCTGCATTCACTTAAAAACAAGCTAAGATGCAAACAGGATATAAGAATGAGAAGACTTACATTTCCTGAGTCTCACCCATTTGAACCCCAACCCCCCCCCCGACACACACACACACACACACACAATCATATTCACACACCGACATGTGAACGGTTTCACTTCATCTCGAGGGGGGCCCTCTCCTCTCGCTGATGTTAAGTTGAGTGCTGCATTTCCCCCGGATTGAAAGCTTTATGTTGCTGTTATAAATGTCAATAATTCCACTTGTGTGTGCTTGCTATGTATGTTGGGTTTAACTTGACGTGAGAGTTACGAGCAGTGTGTAAATTTAGATTTGCGTGTATCAATCTCTCTCGTTTCTGTGCAGCGCTGCCACTTACTCATTTCAGACCTGGAGCGACTCTCGCCTTCCGCAAAAGAGCTAAGTCAGCCTCCATAGCGTTGTATAAATGGACACAAAGACCAATCTGTTTAGAGCTTTTGTGGTCTCTGAACTTGTGACTGCTGCTTGATGTTCTCACCTTTAACAGAGTCTTCCTCCAGGCTTTCCTTCGCTGTGTAATCTGAAAGCTGTTGCCGGAAAATGACCTGAGGAATCAGAAGTAAATGATTCCTCAGTCCTTTTTGTATTTCATGCATTTGTGGTTCAAGTGATGACAGCCACGATGCTGAATGAAAAATAAAAAATATTTTGGAAACTGAGCACAAAATAACCAGTGTTCTTTCAGACCCCACAGGTGGAAAACTGTGGTATTGTGAATAGTTGTGACGCAGACGCTGTACCTTAAAGGCCGAGGGAGCTGAGCATGAACATGAGGCTTTTATCTCTCTGGTCCTCTGCTAACATTTTGATCAACCAAACCAACATGGTGCTTTCCAGAAACACAGATGTTTTTTTTTTTGTTTTTTTATAAATCCATAAAAGTGCTGCAGACTTAAGCCACCCCATGACCACAACACTGGCTTCAAAACAAAACGGGAGTAGCGGGATACAACTGCGGAAGGGGCCCAACTCACAGCTGATACACAAAGCCTTTAAATGGGAGGTTTTTTTCTTGCAGGACGAATGTCCTGTGTAGGCTACCAGTCTCGCCTGTTTCCTGTGTGTGTTACCAGTTTGCCACTGAGGCTCTGTCTGGGTTACACATCTCCCCGGGGGGGGTTTATCTTTAAAAATGGCTGGACTCTGGTGGGGAAACGGGTGTATGTGTTGTTGTGTGAGAGACGAGGCGTCGGCCTATGCACTTGTCACAGGGTAGTGCTGCAATGTAATCTCCTCATGAATGCATTCTCACACTTGGTCTACAACATTTATCCCCCATTTGACCGGCTCGCTTCGGATTTACAGTCCCCCGGGCCGCCAGGCAAAGCGAAAGCGGTTTTGCTTTGTTGTTGGGAGTCGCACACTGATGTTGTTTCTGATCAGTCATTTTGGCCGCTACCGAGGGAAGAGGAGCAGGAAACATGACAGAGCACACACCCTAGTTGGCCGTACACAGCTGTGCACATCACTTCCTCCTCACGCTGCCCTGCTGGTCACATGTTTTTTTTTTTTTTTATTGTTCCCCCTTCAAACCTAATAGACCTAACAGTTCTGTGTGAGCTAGTCGAGAGTGGCTCAGCATTATGTGTTCTGTATGCTTGATGTGTCACTGCAGTGAGACCTGAAAGCTGATAGGAACGTCATGTTTCAAAATGATAGTGATGTGTGGAAGGCAAGAATCCGAACAGTAATGGGCGTAAAAGGAATAATACCGAGTGTTTTGTTTATCACCTATAGTAACTGTTGCATAATCGGGCTCTTCAGGCTCAGGGGCTTTACAAGCAGATTGTGGCCGAGGAGGTGCGAAAGCTCTGCAGGACAAAGAAGTTGGAGACGTTGCCGAGCTACGACATTTAATCCTGGTTTTCCAAACAAAAACACAACTCCTCTTAATGACACATCTGGTGACAGGTGTACAATAGAGCTATTTGACTGTGTTTCTGAAAAGGCCCGGCTATGAGGGAAGTGGTCTTTATGTATAGAGATTGATAGGGTGGAATTTATTACCCCATGGCGTGTGTATTTAAACCAGTTGAGTGGAAATATTAGGGACTTGGCCCAGGCTTTGGCATTAAAATGAGTTGTACAACGGGTGTGCACTCCCAAATGGTGTGCTGCTGTGGCAGAATGACTTCCTGTGAGGTCTGTCACTGGACTATCCACACTTCCTGCTCACTTCCTGCTTTATGAACTGCTGATGAGCCTGTTGACACAATTCAGTTAAGACTGGATCCTCAGTGAGAGTGTGAAAAAAAACCCCTTCTAGGAATCAGTCTTCTGCTCTGTAGGCTGAATGAGAGCATGAATTTTTACTTTATAAAATATATTTCTCTGCTCTTTTGAGACAAAAAGGGGGCCTGCTGTTCCTGATTCAAGAATGGAAAACCTACATTGATCCCGGGTGTGCTAACTGTGTTCTCTGACGACGATACGTCATCTCATACTTGCCTCATCCTTTCATTTCCCCTTGCTCAAGCTCGTCTGCACTGTGAGCAAAATACAGCATGGAACTGTTACCAAAATGCTGGAAGGTCACCAGCTTTCTCTCCCCTTCCTCAGCTCCTTCCACCTTCTATTCACCCTCTCTCGCACATGCACACACACACACACACACACACACACACACCCACACACACCAACACCATCTGTATTTATTTGAATTCATCCATTTGAATTCAGTAAGGAATGAAAGGCGCTTCAGTATGAACATTTGCATTTTCCTGTTATCCGGGTTTCATCATATGTCAGTTGCTGGCCTTCTA